AACAGTTTGCCCAGAGAAGCTGTGGCTGCCCCGTCCCTGACAGTGTTCCAGGCCAGGTTGGATGGAGCCCTGAGCAACCTGATCTGTTGGAAGATGTCCCTGCCCATGGCAGGGGGGTGGGAAGTAGATGATCTTTAAGGTCCCTTCCAACCCTTACCATTCTATAATTAGAATTTTTTTCCCCAAAAAATGTATCCTAAATTTTCTTCAGTTTCTTCCTTCAGGTCCACAATTACTTAGGGTCTCATTCCTCATCAAAAAGTTCTCCAACACTGTAGTGCTATGTCACCACTTTTGGCTGTCTCCTTGACAAAACCATGTAGAAGGTCTGCACGTGTGCAACGTGAAGACAAATAAATGAGAACAACACATCGGCTGGATCAGCTCATCTGCCCTCTTCATCACCTGTCGCCTGCTGTCACTAAGCAACATGAAGCATGGTGGGCTTTAGGAACCTGCCCACCATGAGGATCTGAGCAACGCCCAGTGCTCCAGCTCTTACCACCTGAACAACATCTATACTAAGGAGAACCACATGAGCGGGGATTTAACCCAAAAAATGCTTGTTTTAAGTGTTATTTTACAAAGCTGTTGCACCAACAAAAAGTGTTTTTCTGAAGAAAGAACACAAGCCTGCATATTCCATTTATATTTTACCTTATGCTAGCAATTTGCTTGCCCATTTTTTCACTAGTCTCTTTCCAAAGGATCTTAAACTTTCTATGAAAACTTCATTCCACTGAGTTTACAGAATAGTTCTGTATTCAGAAACTCGGTTAAACTTTTCCACCCCTCATACGTACCTGAAATTTTAGAGTTATTTCTTTCTTTTCTGCAGCTGAACCACTCTGAGATACTTTCCCAGTGCTTTTCTGCCCACAGAAAGGATGCCCACACGCATGCTCGCTCAGTGCCGTCAACCAGGGCTGGACAACCCTGTACCTTGGTGAGCAACTTAAGTCCACGTCACCCCTCTTCTGTTTCATTTGAGGTAGTGACCTCCTGGGAGCAGCATGGAGGAGAGACTTTGCTTGGGGTAAATGCTTGGAAGTTTGGGTGGCTCTGTCATGAGGGTGTCTGCGAGGCTCAGGCGGGCTGGCCCACCTCGCAGGAGGGATGTGGGCACCTCTGTTGTGCCCCTGAGCTTTGGGTGAGGGAGCCTGGATGACAAAGCTTCCTCTGATTGTCGTCGAGAAGGGTGGATCTCCTGGGAGTGCCTCCCTCGCTGGCCAGTGCTTGGTGGCCGGGCTCTTCCCCGA